TTGAAGACATTTACACTGAGTACAAAGCGAGATCAAAAGATAATCTTCAATGTAGTCGTACTTCTGAAAAGCCAACACATATGTCGTTTCATGATGTATCTGTGAAAGTAAAACTACCTGAAATAAAATTATCTACTTTTTCCGGGCAATATGAAGAATGGCAAACTTTCAATGATAATTTCTTGTTCCTAATTCACAACAATCCGAATTTGAGCGAGGTTCAGATGATGCACTATCTAAAAGGTAGTCTTCTTGATGAACATCAGAAATCACTAGGAAATTTAGCAACAACAGAATCTAATTACGAGGAAGCATGGTCTCTACTAAACTAATGCGGCGTTATGACAGCAAGAAGAACGTAATACAAAGTAAATTGTGAAACGTTTAGTCTCCCAGAAAAGCATTGCTTCCGAATCATCTAGTGCTTTGAAACAGCTACTTGATACAACTTGTGCATGTATCAAATCCTTAAACAATATTGGCATTGCGACTGATGGATCTGTGAACTGGGATCTTATGATAAATTATCTGGTTGTATCAAAACTAGATCACGGGACAAGAAAACAGTGGGAGAGTTAAAGTAATCAAGTCTTATCTAACGAATCACATATTTATAGTTATAAATTCTAAACAAATTGGTAAAAGAAAATCATTACACGCTTTCGAAAATTTCGACTTGTCCATTCTGTTCGAGTAAATATTTGCTAAACAATTGCAAGACTTTTGATAAAAATTTACCGGAAGAGAAATCAGTTTCTGCAATCAAAGAGATTATGTTTTAACAGTCTCGCATCAACTTATTCTGTTAGATACTGTTATCAAGCTATGAGCTGTCACAAATGCGGCAAACGACACCATACACTACCTACATTTTGAGGAAGAGAACAATCCAGACACAAGGAGAAAAGAATATTCTTCAATGAAGACTAAATCATCCGAGAATCAACAACCGACACAAGAGACAGAGAGTGGTAACTCATTTTGCTAAGAAAGCCGTCATAGCAAGGCCATCGCTAAGGCCAAAATTGAGTCAGCAAATGGCTATAAGCAAATAATTCGAGCATTAATTGATCAAGGTTCTGAAGGTTCATTCGGTTCAGAAGCTACAGTCCAATTGTTGGGTTTGAAACGAGAGCGAGCAATTGGCTAAGTATTAGGAGTGGGTGTAAGTGAAACAAGAACATAGAGCATGGTTACCTTTAAGCTAGAATAACTACGCGATCCCGAGTTTTCGATGCAAATTAATGCATATGTATTGAGATCACAGATACAGAAGAAGGAATAAATGATGTCAATTTATTCCTTCTTCTAAAATGTCAATAGCTCAACAAACGTCACTTGGTCGGGTGCCGTCAGGCCACATCAAAAGATATAATCGTGAACTTCCCTCAAACCGACGACTCATTAACTAACATTTGCAAGTAAATGATGATGATATCCTAAAACAATTTTGGAAAATCTAAAACGAGCAAGATTCGAATAAAAAAAAGATGTGAGAACAACGGCGGGAATTTGTAAAGGACGTTATATTGTTCCTTTGCCTTTTAAAAATCACCATCCTGAATGCCTGCAAGGAAAACGAGAGAAATAGCTTTAAAAAAATCCTGGGAATTTCCTGGAGCAAAGGAAATGAATAAACCTTATACTTACTTGAAGATAATAAAGCTCTTACTAAGAAAAAAGTGATACATTGCGAGTATATTTCTTTTATAGTAGAGGGGGCAAACGAGCATACGGCTCACCTGACGTTAAGTGACCGCCGCCCATGATCAACCGCAACACCAGGGGAATTGCAGGTGCGTTGCCGGCTCTTTAGAAAAAAGTAAGCTCTTTTCTTGGAGATCCCTAGGTCGTATCGGTCCGGAAATATCGCCGGTTGTAAACTATTCCACAGAAAGGTCGTACGCGGAAGAAAACTCCTAGTGAAACGTACAGTGGTGGACCGCCAAGCATCCAGATGGTGTGGGATTAATCCGAACAATTCCTCAGAGCACTCCCCGTGGTACACGCCGCGCCAGTGAATCGAGCCGATTGGAAAGCACTCGGTCGTCGACGATTCGAGCCGCTTTGCGCTAGATGCGGTCAAGTGGAAGGATGGAGCCCCATCCCAGAGATGGGAACAGTATTCCATGTGAGGCCGAACCCACGCCTTGTATAGTTACAGGCGGTGTGCCGGCATGAAATACCGTCCCGCTGTGCTGAGCACGCCAAGCTTTTTAGAGGCCAATTTGGCCTTCTCTTGCATGTGAACACGAAACTGCACGTCACTTGATATATCGACGCCGAGAATTGCCTGAGGCAACAAGGGAGTGCCTTGAAACTGAGGCGATACGACGAAGGGGTTCTTTTTAGCGGTAAACGCCCAAACATGTGTCTTCCGAGGGTTATTCTGGACTAGATTTATTCGCCCTCAATCCGAGACTTTGTTCAGCACGGACTCGACTTCATATACAAGTTTGTTCCGGTACTGGGAGACGTTTTCCCGCGAAATATTGGCACAGCCGGTGTACAGAACATCACCAGTGCTGTTATCCGCATAGCAATGAATGTTGAAGGTTTGCAATATATCTTTGATGTGCAAAGAAACAGCGTTGGTGACGCACGCAGCCTTGTGAAACGCCAGCATTATTAGGCTTGTAATCGGAGCATGCACCGTCTACAACGACCTTGATGTTCCGATCTGCAAGAAAGCTGGTGATCCGATTGCACAATTTCTCATGAAGCCCATAGAAAGGGAGCTTTGAAAGTAGCGCTTTGTTGCAAAGCCAACATCGCGAAGGACGCCCATCCACGTCCCTCACTGAAGACAACGTGAAAAAAAGTCGAAGATGTTGTGTTGGCAGATCGAAGAGTGACCATCAGGCATGTAGCTGAGGTCACAGGGATCTCATATGGCAGCGTTCAAAGAATCCTTGCGAACGAGTTGCATATGAAAAAGGTCTCTGCGCGTTGGGTACCCAGAATGTTAACCGACGAGCAAAAGAAAAATCGAGTTGACATTTCGAGGGTCAATCTCGAAAAGTTCCAAGCAGATCAAGAAAATTTTTTGTTCCGTTTTGTGACTATGGACGAGACCTGGATCCACCATTTTGATCCTGAACGAAACAACAATCGATATCTTGGAAGCGAGCCTCCTCACCGACGCCATAGAAATTCAAAGTTTCAAGTTCGGCGGGAAAGGTTATGGCATCTGTTTTGAATTGTTGTTTCAAACAGATGTTTCAGTGTTGTCGAGGCAAGAAATTCGAAGACGATAGCGAAGTAATGGCCGCTGTTGAAGCGTTTTGGGAGGGTCAAGACAGAGATTTTTTTTTCAAAGGGAATCCTGGGGTATTGATTTGTTAGGAGACTATGTAGAAAAATAAATTATTATTTTAACTTTAATTACCGTGTTTTATTTTCATTATCATTACTTTTGGATCACCCCTCGTATACCTCAAACTCTGAAAACTAAATTGTACAACTAGTGCGTGTTGCCAGTGATAACATACGAATCTGAGACGTGGTCCTTCACTGCTGGCCGTATGAGGACGCTCAAGGTCGCTCAGCGAGCTATGGAGAGGGCCATGCTCGGGGTTCTCTGCGTGATAGACTCAGAAATGAGCATATACGCAGTAGAACCAGAGTGATCGACATAGCCAAACGGATTAGTAAGCTGAGGAGGTATGCGCAGTGTAGGACGACCTCCCACTAGATGGAGTGACGACCTGGTAAGACATGCAGGAAGTCAATGGATGCAGGTGGCTCAGGACCGTGCTTTGTGGCATTCCTTGGGGAAGGCCATGTTCAGCAGTGGACTTGTGAGAGGCTGTAACGCTGCAACACGTACGTGAAGCGCATTTTTTTGAGACAGTTCCGATTCCGTCCGACAGTCAGTGACGTGCGCGTCCAGCGATGGTTCAAACGTTTTGTATATTAAATTTTTGCTGTTATCACTTGTCATTACCTGTTGTTGCGTTTTGTGTTTTTTGTTTTGTTTTAATAATGCCTAATCGTTTATAGTGCTCGTGAATATGGCAACATGTTTATGTGCCTTGTAGAAGGCTCGCGGTAATGATTCGTGTGCATTAAAGGCGTCGGGATGGAACAAGTGTGTCATACTGGAGAGTTCATAAGGTGTAAAAGTGTAAGCCGAGCACCAAACCAGATGGTTGGTTAACGTATGGGCAGGTTTATTTATGGTTTTAGATCGGTAAGCATTTTCATACCTATTTTTTTAAATAACTTAGTACTGAACTTATCTGAATAGGTACATAACTGAATACATCAGAATAGTAAACATAGCTACTAAATAATTAAAGTAAATTTTTCATAAGCGGGGGAATCGAACCAGGTATTTGTTTTACTTAACGTACATACTTGAGTAGATAAATTACTCATGAGCCGCGCGTATTTGTCGTCGCATGTACATTGACCCCTATCAGCTGATGTTAGGTATTTGAAGTTCCACTGCTGGTTTTATATTTAAGTACTTTTATGATTTTTTTTTACTAACATTTTGACATTCGGAGTTATCAATTACCTATATTTAGTTTTAGTGCCATTTAAATGCAATTTATTAACATTAAACCAATTCATTAATTTAGATATAGCATTATTTACTTCTTCATTTTTTAGTAACTGGCGTTTTAATTTGAAAATTAATGAAGTGTCATCAGCAAATAATACTATATCATGGTTATCCCCTGCTATATACGGTAAGTCATTAATGTATACAAAAAACAAAAAAGGGACGAGATTGAGCCCTGAGGCACGCCCATTTGTAATATCGACCCTGAAGAACTCTTAATGTTAACGACAATTTTTTGCGTTTTGTTACTTAAATATGAAATAACTAATTTAAGAGAATCCTAATAAATGTTTCATGGTGAACGCAATGGAAGTCTTTGGGACTTCTGGGACATCTGTATATGTGTGAGTTTGTGCAACTAAGAAGTTTTAACGTTTAACGGGCAGCCTTACGACTGAGAGTTTTCTTTTATATTTAAATGTTCACTCACGAATCTGCTAGCGTTGTGGTTGCGCGAGGTGGCGGCGTTGCCGAATGCCTCCAGCAGCGTGCCGGCGGCTGCCAGCGCGGCGCCGCGGCCCGCCCCGCCCCCGCCTCCTCCCCCGCCGCTGCCCGCCACCACCGCGCACTGCAGGCACACGCGCGCCGCCTCCGTCTTGCCCGCACCGCTCTCTCCTGCAAAGCACCAACGCTCACACACACGCTACGAAGGAAACGCCACCATTAGGCATGGCGATCTGAGATCGATTAATCGATGAATCGATTTCCTGTTCCAAAAAGATCGATTTCTATATCGATATATCGATATGGATCGTACCAGAGTCAATACTTTACAGATTTTTGTGAATCGATTCATTAAATTTCAATTTGAATCGATTTAAGAATAGATCTTTTTTTGGAAAGAATCGCCATTCCTAACCACTACTCGCTCCGATCGATCCAACTTTACCTGTTATCACGATGCACTGGTTTTCATTTCTATCCCGTACCCATCTGTAGGCGGTCACCGTTAAAGCATATCTGGAAGTAAGACCACATTTACTTATTAACTCATGTACCGCGAACATCCGTAAATGTGAAAGAACTCAACTTACAGGTGCGGAGGCAACAAGTAAGGCGGTCGTGCGAGGTAGGTGCGCACCAGCTCGGTAGAGTAGATTGGCAGGGGTCGGCATGGGTTGACAGACACAAGAGCGTTGCCAACATATGTCTGCAAAGTATTAAGATAATGTTAAGCTAGTAAGGATGTTTTATGCTGCATGTGTCAGTCGTGATTAATTCGGCCATTTACACAGAGTAAAGTTCATAACAATATGCAATAAATAAATAAATTGTTAAACGAAGTATTTATTTGTATTCGATCTAAACTGACCTGCGCTGCAGGCACCGAACTAAGAGTATTGTACACGAGCTTAGAAGAGAGGGAGACGTGACAGAGGTGTTTACCTTAGACACTGACAAACCACAATTAACCGCCATTAAACCGGGGGTTCCACAGACCGTACCACCCATCGTAGGCCACCAAGGGGGCAATTTCCGCGCTGGATGTTTCGAAAACCAGTTCTAAATCTGTGGAGCTGGATGCGAAAAATGAGCAAGGGGCCGCGAGTAGCAAAACCCCTGCGGAGCCCCAAAGAACCGATGACCTTTTCTCTGCTGCCTGGCAAGTGGTGAGCCGTAAGGGGAAGAGCAAGGCACCCAAAAGGGTGACTTGCCGACCTGACGGACCATCAGGTGGGTCTGTCCCAGCAGGCAGTGGTACAAATTCCAGAAAAGAAGAATAAGAAGCAGCGAGAGAAAGGCCGCAGAGAAAGAGCCGCGGTCGCTGCTTCCGAGAACACTCAGGCAGCTGGGCAAGCTACTTCCACTGCGGTGCTTGGGGCTGGAACCAGTAGCCGTGCTGAAACTGGGAAGGATGAAAATCCAACCCGAAAAGTAGGCACGGCCGTCGGAACCAGCTCTAAGAGATCCGCCAGGAAGCAGAGAGCAGCCAAGCGTCCTGGTAAGAATGAAACAGCAGCCAAAAGGATGCTGGAGGACTCCACCTCGCCGAGAGGCAAGCACAAAAAGTGCGACTTGAACAGCAACCAAAGGCTGTGTGGCGGCGCAGTCGTAGCGCCGCAAGCGAAACACACCGAAGCCTAAATTTTGCTATAAAAATTCCGAATCACAAACAGTATATATAGCACATCTCCGAACTATCACACGGAGTGTTGGCCGCTCCCCGGGCACTACACCTTGCCCGGCGGGAAATCTCCCCTTTTCCTACCATGGCCACAGTGGAGTAGTTACGTTGTACCAGTTGTGGCTCACTGAGTCAGAAGTGGTACAAGTACAACGTTCGTCAACTCACGATCTTAAAAATAAAGGTTTTGGTGTGCTCTGATCACGAATCTGCGGTCCATTTTTGCGTAGGATGCACGGTTCCGGAGATGTGCAGATCAATTAACTCTTATCTAATTGATATCCGGTGAGGGACTCCACCGTCATTAGCGCTCCATTGTTCTTATCCATTGTTCATTGAATACCGTCATTATCTATTCGTGCGTCGGATTATCAGTGCTATTATATTATACTCCTTTGTTCCTAACTGCAACGGTAATCTGAATCATCAATAAAATACATTACCTAATTTTGTTACAATTTTTATTTACGACATACAAAATCTTATTGCTTATTATCTATAAAATAGGAGCGAAATATCTCATCCTCTAAAATATCGTCGTACAATGTGTTCCATGTAAATATACTCGTAAAACTATGCATTGAACATCCCTGAAACTTATATAGCAAATACATTAAGCAATATTCGCCACAAACTGATACAAAATCTTATTACTTATTATCTATAAAATAGGAGCGAAACATCTCATCCACTAAAATATCGTTGTACAATGTGTTCCCTGTAAATATACTCGTAAAACTATGCATTGAACATCCCTGAAACTTATATAGCAAATACATTAAGCAATATTCGCCACAAACTAAAGTCCACTCATTCTGAATCCTATCAACATTCCAGTTCCATCTTTTACAATTCCTTTTTAAAAACTCTAGATGATATCGTACAGGTGCTCGTCCGTATGAATCAAAATATTGACCGACGTCATTCGTATCGATATATAAAGCTACCCAATGTGACCCCGGTTTTTGATTTAGTGTTAACAAATTATATTTAAATATTGTGTGTGTGTGTGTGTGTGTGTGTATATGATTAAGCCGTGGTAGCTCAGATGGTTAGCGCAAGCTGCAAATTTCACAGTACGCGACCCCGGTTCAATCCCCGCCGGCACCAATGAAATTGTTAATTGGAATTTTAAGTGATTAAAACTACTTTTACGGATTTTATCGCGTTTATTTTTACTTTTTATTTATAAATATATAAATAAAATATATAAATAAAAAGTAAAAATAAACGCGATAAAATCCGTAAAAGTAGTTTTAATCATGTATAGTGTTCGCGTAAATATAAGAAATCATTATGCAATTTTAAGTGTTTATTCTATTGACAAACTTACTTTTGTTTCTGTTATTTTCTTACGTGTCTATAATTTAGTGTTAACAAATTATATTTAAATATTGTGTGTGTACCGCATCTACGAATACTAGAGTAGTTAAAAATACTTTTTTTAACAAAGATAGTCATTAGTTGATCATTAGTGAATGTGATTCTGTTTACTTAAATTACAGGAAGACAAGAGCAGAAGGAAGAAATGGGATGATGGAAAGTAATGAAGCATTGTTATGTGAAGTTTGTTGGAAAAAACATATTTTTAGTCACGTGTAAATACTTTTAACATTTTGGTTCAAAATGACACAAAATCTAAAAAATATTAGATACATCATCGACATGGACGGATTTTACATTACATATCCTCATAAACATTTGCAATGTAGAGAAATGGCTATTCTAGACGTGAAACTATCTAATAAAAATGATGCGTTTATCGATCATTATTTGTTTCGGCCAAGTTATCCTTTCAATTATTTGTCGCTAAAAGACAAAAAAAAACTGTTCGTTATTGTGAAACCCACGTGCACGGCATTCCATATTTTGATGTGACCGAAGAATTAAAATGTACCTACAAACAAGAGAACATCATCCCCATATTAAATTGGTATATTAGAAATTTGTGCAAAGACGAAGTGATCGCATACAAAGGTGGTTCAACAGAAAAACAATTTTTAAAAATGTTGACGACAAATGATAGAATTTTTAATATTGAAGAATACAAATGTCCAAAATACAATGATTTAGTAAATTTCATAAATTTAAACAAACGTTATGTGTGTAATAATCATATATTTGCAAAAAATAATCACAAAATTTTACATTGTTTTTGTGACGAAGTGTGGGTTTACGAAATTAATCATAAATTTTGTTTGATTTCCCAAAAACATTAGTTATAGTACACAATATATATTAATTGTTTACACCAACACTTTCATTTTTTATTTCACCCCTTAGAACTTTAGACGTGTGTAATGTTTCACTTTATACATCCGTTTACTGCTATTGTGGCAGGACCAAGTGGATGTGGGAAGTCAAATTTTGTAACAAATTTCATAAAATCAGTTACAGAAATATGTAATTGTGATTTTAATCAGATCACATGGTGCTTTGATGAAATGCAACCTTTATATAATTTACCAAATGTTAACTATCATCAAGGAATTCCAAATCTTAATATGTTTGATGGTGAAAACCCACATTTCGTTATTATTGATGATCTAATGAGAGAGTCCGATGTAACTTTAAACTCGAACAGTGTTTTGTATTAGATTAAATAGAAGATTTATAAAGAAATAAAAAATAATATATTGCATACAATTTGTTTTATTTAATTTTATAACGTTTCACATAGTTACATACACACAAAATGCATTACACATAACTCATAAAATCTAACACACAACACATATTATAACCTTAACTACTATAGTCTACAGTAACATTTCTGTTTTTATCTATCTCAATAATATTATCAAATTCAGCATAAACTATACAGTTAATTGATTGTATTAGTGAGGATTCAAATCGTACTTCTAATCTTACACTACCATGCTTTATGAGATTCCAATGAGCTGATGAGTTGGATGATAAATCAGGAGTTAAGTCAAATGCTAATATACAGTAACCTTTGGCATACTGTTCACAAGAGATTCCATTTCCTTCATTAAGAAAGTGAATACCAGTTCCCGAGAATAGAGTATGATATGCTGATGTAAATACACTATTACTAAAAGATGGTTGCAAAGCTTTTGAAGGTATTTGTTGACCATCAATATATAAGCTGAAAGAATTAATACCATAGTTTTTAAAGTTAAATGGATGTTTAGTAAGGGAACCATAAATGCTTTTGTGTTTATTAGTTAATTGTTCACAAATCCAATTATACATCTTTTGGGTACCTGCCCTAAAAATATATTATCAAGAGTTTTTCCTTGAACACCCGATGGAATTGTTAAAACGTTTACTTCAGCTCGAGTAATAGGATATTGAGCAGTGGTAGAAATTAAAACTTTTTGATGTGCGAGTAATACACTTGGATTAAGAGTTGCGTCCGTAATGCAAACTTTAAACTTTACGTCGTTTGACCCAGCAATTAAATTAAAACTCTCTCTTGATCGAACCAATTTAACACTCATTTCAACACCATTAATTAAAAATTTATCTTGGTTGAAAATGTCACCGTGAAGATGACCAATCATTTCTATTTCCTTAGTTTCACTAATCAATTCCTGTCTTTTAACAAATCCTATGTTTTTACCATCCGTAGAATCCATTTTTCCTGCTGTATCATCATACCAAATACTACAAGAAAGATGAGATTGTTTAGCAGCAGGAGCATAGTTTAAAAGTGTTTCCATGTATGCTCGATATGCATAGGTATTATTAGGTGGTGATACAAGTTTTTGGTTTAAATAAACATCAAGTTGACTAAAAATCAATGCAGCCAATTATTTACAGGTGCTACTATTGTAGTTGATATCAAGTTAGTTGAATCTTGATTTAATATTTTTGCCTTTATGTGGAGTAATGTATGAGACAAATCTATGTAATCATCGCCTGTCCCGGGAACTTGAAACTCGATAGGTCCATCATCACCAAGAGATGAAATTGGTTTATAATGAATCCACAATCCATTTTCAATGCTAGTTTGTGTAGGCGATAGTGCAAACAAATCCAATTCTGACTTAACGCACTCG